CTTCCCTCAGAAGACAGTCCAGACCTAAGAGTGAACAGGTACCTACAATCACCTCATAATTACCTCTCTTAACTGTACCGTAAAATGCTTTTTGCACAGCTAGATCTTTCAGAATTGTCTTTTGACCCACAAAAATGAAGTGATTTTCTTTTGTTTTATGTCATGACTCAAAAGAAACCATTTGGTTCCATTTGAGAAATTCGGTTCCTTATATTCCCCCTGCCACTTAGACCCAGCCAAGACCTAGAGGTAGCTGTGTGTGTACAGTGCCTTGCAAAAGTATTCATACCCCTTGGCGTTTTTCCTATTTTGTTGCATTACAACCTGTAATTTAAATTGATTTTTATTTGGAATTCATGTAATGGACATACACAAAATAGTCCAAATTGGTGATGTGAAATGAAAAAAATAACTTGTTTCAGAAAATTCTAAAAAATAAATAACGGAAAAGTGCATATGTATTCACCCCCTTTGCTATGAAGCCCCTAAATAAGATCCGGTGCAACCAATTACCTTCAGAAGTCACATAATTCGTTAAATAAAGTCCACCTGTGTGCAATCTAAGTGTCACATGATCTGTCACATGATCTCAGTATATATACACCTGTTCTGAAAGGCCCCAAAGTCTGCAACACCACTAAGAAAGGGGCACCACCAAGCAAGCGGCACCATGAAGACCAAGGAGCTCTCCAAACAGGTCAGGGACAAAGTTGTGGAGAAGTACAGATCAGATTTGGGTTATAAAAGAATATCAGAAACTTTGAACATCCCACGGAGCACCATTAAATCCATTATTTAAAAATGGAAAGAATATGGCACCACAACAAACCTGCCAAGACAGGGCCGCCCACCAAAACTCACGGACCAGGCAAGGAGGGGATTAATCAGAGAGGCAACAAAGAGACCAAAGATTACCCTGAAGGAGCTGCAAAGCTCCACAGCGGAGATAGGAGTATCTGTCCATAGGACCACTTTAAGCCGTACACTCCACAGAGCTGAGCTTTACGGAAGAGTGGTCAGAAAAAAGCCATTGCTTCAAGAAAAAAATAAGCAAACACGTTTGGTGTTCGCCAAAAGGCATGTGGGAGACTCCCCAAACATATGGAAGAAGGTACTCTGGTCAGATGAGACTAAAATTGAGCTGTTTGGCCATCAAGGAAAACGCCATGTCTGGCGCAAACCCAAAACCTCTCATCACCCCGAGAACATCGGCAGGGACTAGGAAACTGGTCAGAATTGAAGGAATGATAGATGGCGCTAAATACAGGGAAATTATTGAGGGAAACCTGTTTCAGTCTTCCAGAGATTTGAGACTGGGACAGAGGTTCACCTTCCAGCAGGACAATGACCCTAAGCATACAGCTAAAGCAACACTTGAGTGATTTAAGGGGAAACATTTAAATGTCTTGGAATGGCCTAGTCAAAGCCCAGACCTCAATCCAATTGAGAATCTGTGGTATGACTTAAAGATTGCTTTACACCAGCGGAACCCATCCAACTTGAAGGAGCTGGAGCAGTTTTGCCTTGAAGAATGGGCAAAAATCCCAGTGGCTAGATGTTCCAAGCTTATAGAGACATACCCCAAGAGACTTGCAGCTCTATTGCCAAAGGGCTCTACAAAGTATTGACTTTGGGGGGGTTGGTGAATAGTTATCCACGCTCAAGTTTTCTGTTTTTTTTGGTCTTATTTCTTGTTTGTTTCACAATAAAATATATGTTGCATCTTCAAAGTGGTAGGCATGTTGTGTAAATCAAATTATACAAATCCCCCAAAAATCAATTTTAATTCCAGGTTGTAAGGCAACAAAATAGGAAAAATGCCAAGGGGGGGTGAATACTTTCGCATGCCACTGTATCTGTTGTTGTGAGTGTGTGTGTGTGTGTGTGTGTGTATCCCCTCCCCAGGGGGGTATGAGGGAGGCAGAGCACCATGCCCCCAGCCCACAGCCAGGTGACTGTCCCCAGGCAGTAGAGGCCAGAGAGAGGATGGAACGGTCTCTGTGGCTCCGCTGTAGACTGGCTGTGGTACGCAGTCTGGTCGCACACATCCCTGGCACCGCCATCTACCCAGGTACTTGTGTTTGTGTGTGTGTTGCACCTCAGGGCTCGATAGTAACACCTGTCCGCTTGCCCGGGGCAAGTAAAAAAATATATAGTTGCACAAGCAGATTATAGATTTATTTTGTCCGAATAAAAAGTAAAAAGAATCACGCAAAAATCACAATATCAAACAATTATGATACACCGATCAGAATTGGATCAAAGAGTCTTCCGAATGAGATGTGTTAATTATTGTAGGCATGCATTGACAGGCACAAGCTGTCTTTCAATCATGCAGTCGTGAGATGCGTTTTTGAGATCAAAGCCAGCTTAGCTGCGTGTGCACATGTTGATATTCAATTGCTAGTTAGTGAGTTATTTGTCCAGTTATAGCACATTTTTGGTCAGCAATGAAAATCCTGGAAAAGTCATGGTGTACATCACCTGCGTGTGTGCCAGTGGGTGTTGCCAGAGGAGAGAGAGAGCAAGAGACATTGCTCAGCATGTAAAATAATGATATAGACTCGCCAATTCAAAACATATTGTGTAGTTTGGCTGGTTAACTATTTAGTGAGTAGCATGTATTAATGTCACTGTCATGTCTGATGTCCTAAAATAACTTTCCACCGGCACTCGTGTATAACCGCAATTGGCCAACACGCAGTTGATACGGGTGCTCGTGTATATCCGCAAATGGCCAACACGCAGTTGATCAAGCCAATGCTGAATACTCCGGTTATTCAACCGTCTCTCAAGCGCTCAAAATTGGCTAGGATTCTCCTTTATTCAATACTGGCCATGTAATTCTGACAAAGTTAAAATAATATTATTAGAATAGCCTAATTGACAAGTTGCTTAACTCCTATTCTGTCAAGATCTCCCCTGAACACTGAATATTTTAGCCTTACAAATAGATAAATATCTTAGTTAGGTACCTCGTCCACTGTGGCCATTTAATCCCTGGTTCATTGAATGAGGGAATTATTTTATAAAAACAAAGGTATTTGGTTGTAAATGTAATGTTGCAGGGTGGCCAACCATCCTCCAGGAGAGCTACTGGGTGTGCAGGCTTTTTCTCCAGCCCTGCTCAAACACACCACATTGTAAAAAATCAGCTGCTCAACAGCACCTTGATAAGCTGACTGGTGTGTTTGAGCAGGGTTGGGTCAAAAGCCTGCACACCCAGTAGCTCTCCAGATGGAGGGTTGACGACCACACGTGTTTGATACAGTAGTCAATTAGTGCAGTATTTTACTTTGTGGGGAGTTAAGTGTCTTTCTCAAGGCCACAATGGCAGGAGATATAATAAATGGCATCAGAGACCAGCAGCCTTCCATTGTCAATACCAGTGATAATAATGAATGTTATTTTGTGAAGTGGTTCCTTGCATCATACAACACCTTTTTGGCCCATGGTGCCCAAGTGACTTGGCTCAGGCAAGTAAAAAATCAGTCCTACTTGTCCGAAGGACAAATGGCTAAAAAAGTTAATGTCAAGCCCTGCACCTCATATCGACTTACACTCCACCTCTTTATTTTATTGTTGCTCTGTATGTGTATGGTACATTTTCCCCGAAATACAGTGCATTCGGAATGTATTCAGACCCCTAGACTTTTTCCACATTTTGGTACATTACAGCCTTATTCTAAAATGGATTACATCATTTCCCCCCCCCTCATTAATCTACACACAATACCCCATAATAACAAAGCGAAAACAGGTTTTAAGATTTTTTTGTAAATTTACAAAAAATAAATAATAATAATATTTACATAAGTATTCAGACCATTTGCTATGAGACTCGAAATTGAGCTCAGGTGCATCTTGTTTCCATTGATCATCCTTGAGATGTTTCTACAACTTGATTGGAGTCCATCTGTAGTAAATTCAATTGATTGGACATGATTTGGAAAGGCACCCACCTGTCTATATAAGGTCCCACAGTTGATAGTGCATGTCAGAGGAAAAACCAAGCCATGACGTCAAAGGAATTGTCCGTAGAGCTCCGAGACAGGATTGTGTCAAGGCAGAAATCTGGGGAAGGGTACCAAAACATTTCTGTAGCATTAAAAGTCCCCAAGAACACAGTGGCCTCCATCATTCTTAAACGGAAGAAGTTTGGAACCACCAAGACTCTTCCTAGAGCTGGCCGCCCGGCCAAACTGAGCAATCGGGGAGAAGGGCCTTGGTCAGGGAGATGACCAAGAACCAGAGTTTCTCTGTAGAGATGGGAGAACCTTCCAGAAGGACAAGCATCTCTGCAGCACTCCACCAATCAGGCCTTTATGGTAGAGTGACCAGACGGAAGCCACTCCTCAGTAAAAGGCACATGACAGCCCACTTGGAGTTTGCCAAAAGGCACCTAAAGGACTCAGACCATGAGAAACAAGATTCTCTGGTCTGATGAAACCAAGATTGAACTCTTTGGCTTGAATGCCCAGTGTCACGTTTGGAGGAAACCTGTCACCATCCTTACAGTGAAGCATGGTAGTGCAGCGACGCTCCCCATCCAACCTGACAGAGCTTGAGAGGATCTGCAGAGAAGAATGGGAGAAACTCCCCAAATACAGGTATGCCAAGCTTGTAGCGTCATACCCAAGAAGACTCAAGGCTGTAATCGCTGCCAAAGGTGCTTCAACAAAGCACTGAGTAAAGGGTCTGAATACTTATGTAAATGTGATATTTCAGTTTTGTATTTTTTATAATTTTGCAAAAAAGTTCTACAAAACAGTTTTTGCTTTGTCATCATCCGGGTATTGTGTGTAGGTTGATGAGGGGGAAAAAAACAATTTAATGCATTTTAAAATAAGGCTGTGACGTAACAAAATGTGGAAATAGTCAAGAGGTCTGAATACTTTCCGAATGCACTCTATGTATTTTACAAAAGGCTGGACAGGTTACATTTAGGTATGTGTGTGACTTACACTATCCTGTGTGCGTGTGCATGTGCGTACGTAGGTATGGACAGCAGTGTGGTGGCCACAAAGCTGTTGAAGGAGGGTCTACAGGAGGCTGAGGTGTGGGGAGACCCAGACACCAGAGCCCTGTTTCTCCTCCAAGGGGCTAGACTGGACACACACAGAGGACTGCCCCGCGAGAACAGCACCTCACTGCTACAGGTAGCTAACAACCACACACACACACCCACACACACCTTACTGCTACAGGTCACACATTCTTATTGATATCTACAGTGAGGGAAAAAAAGTATTTGATCCCCTGCTGATTTTGTACGTTTGCCCACTGACAAATAAATGATCAGTCTATAATTTTAATGGTAGGTTTATTTGAACAGTGAGTGACAGAATAACAACAACAAAAATCCAGAAAAAACGCATGTCAAAAATGTTATAAATTGATTTTCATTTTAATGAGGGAAATAAGTATTTTACCCCCTCTCAATCAGAAAGATTTCTGGCTCCCATGTGTCTTTAATACAGGTAACGAGCTGAGATTAGGAGCACACTCTTAAAGAGAGTGCTCCTAATCTCAGCTTGTTACCTGTATAAAAGACACCTGTCCACAGAAGCAATCAATCAATCAGATTCCAAACTCTCCACCATGGCCAAGACCAAAGAGCTCTCCAAGGATGTCAGGGACAAGATTGTAGACCTACACAAGGCTGGAATGGGCTACAAGACCATCACCAAGCAGCTTGGTGAGAAGGTGACAACAGTTGGTGCGATTATTCGCAAATGGAAGAAACACAAAATAACTGTCAATCTCCCTCGGCCTGGGGCTCCATGCAAGATCTCACCTCGTGGAGTTGCAATGATCATGAGAACGGTGAGGAATCAGCCCAGAACTACGCGGGAGGATCTTGTCAATGATCTCAAGGCAGCTGGGACCATAGTCACCAAGAAAACAATTGGTAACACACTACGCCGTGAAGGACTGAAATCCTGCAGCGCCCGCAAGGTCCCCCTGCTCAAGAAAGCACATATACATGCCCGTCTGAAGTTTGCCAATAAACATCTGAATGATTCAGAGGAGAACTGGGTGAAAGTGTTGTCATCAGATGAGACCAAAATCGAGCTCTTTGGCATCAACTCAACTCGCCGTGTTTGGAGGAGGAGGAATGCTGCCTATGACCCCAAGAACACCATCCCCACCGTCAAACATGGAGGTGGAAACATTATGCTTTGGGGGGTTTTTTCTGCTAAGGGGACAGGACAACTTCACCGCATCAAAAGGACGATGGACGGGGCCATGTACAGTCAAATCTTGGGTGAGAACCTCCTTCCCTCAGCCAGGGCATTGGAAATGGGTCGTGGGATGGGTATTCCAGCATGACAATGACCCAAAACACACGGCCAAGGCAACAAAGGAGTGGCTCAAGAAGTAGCACATTAAGGTCCTGGAGTGGCCTAGGCAGTCTCCAGACCTTAATCCCATAGAAAATCTGTGGAGGGAGCTGAAGGTTCGAGTTGCCAAACGTCAGCCTCGAAACCTTAATGACTTGGAGAAGATCTGCAAAGGGGACTGGGACAAAATCCCTCCTGAGATGTGTGCAAACCTGGTGGCCAACAACAAGAAACGTTTGACCTCTGTGATTGCCAACAAGGGTTTTGCCACCAAGTACTAAGTCATGTTTTGCAGAGGGGTCAAATACTTATTTCCCTCATTAAAATGCAAATCAATTGATAACATTTTTGACATGCGTTTTTTCTGGATTTTTTTGTTGTTGTTATTCTGTCTCTCACTGTTCAAATAAACCTACCATTAAAATTATAGACTGATCATTTCTTTGTCAGTGGGCAAATGTACAAAATCAGCAGGGGATCAAATACTTTTTTCCCTCACTGTATACACACTCTCACATTACAATAGTGCTGTCACGATACCAGAATTTTGACTTTGATACCAATACCAGGTTTAGTATTTTTCCAAAATGATACTCGAATCCACAGCAAAAAAAGAAAGCGAGGATAACTTTTTTGTAGAAATACTGTGAGAAGGTAAGTTCTCATTTCCACAGAAATTTCCCTAATAACATATTGGTAAAAATATTTTAGACGGACTCTTTACCATTGCCTAAACATGGTTCATATTATCAAGCAGGTGTGTTATTAGCATTAAGCATTGTCGTCTGTAGCCTAACTGATGCAGCATAATGGCAAAATAAATAGGCTGAAGTATGCATTAGGCTTTGAGTGAGTTAAAGTGAGTTTTTCCCCTAGTCATTTCTCAGTCAATACTCATATTCCGGAATGAAATTTGGCACACCGGTTCCCTAAATGGTCAGCAGATGGCGCCGCGATCCGCTCGCTAGTTTTCTTGCTGGAAAGATGTATTGAGATTTTCCATTCTCCCGTATGTATTTTCGAAGACATTTAAGAAAATCCACTATATTGTCAACAGTGACACTCAAATGACCAAGAAAGATTACATATCAGAAGTGCCTTCCGTTCGAATATCAGAGGAAGGTGTTGTTGATGTAATTAAAAAACATTTTTTATTTTACAGGAAAGAATGAAGGTAAGCTAACTAAATTAACAAAATTACATGGGGGCTAACAGGCTAATATTATTTATTTTTTGAAGGTGAAACAGAAAAAGATAGACAGCATTAGGATTACAGATCATACAGTCTAATTCAAAGTGAGAAATGCAGCATGCCCTCATTGAAAATCTATATGTTCTATGTACCGAGCTGTTACGCAAAGCTGAAACCTAGCCACTCTCCTCTCCTAACAACATTACCTAGCTACACAACGTTATATCCCAATGTCATTGACACTCAATATATTTTTGTTCTCAGCCACATCTAAGCCATCAAAATTGAATTCAAGCCAGATAGCATACATTATTGAAATTGTATCGGTTTCATTAGTTGACGTTGAAATGTCATTTGCTTGCTAGCCAGCTAGCTTGCTTGCTTGCCAGGCTCCCGGGTTCATTTCTCTTCCGAGCAGCCCACTTATGGCACAAGTATGCTAACTATCTAGCTAACTCGTTGTACCTGGACAACATTGACCCTCAACATACTTATTTTGTTCAATTATCTCAGCCATAGTCACAGTTAAATTCAAGGCAGATGAACTATCTAACAGGCATGAGCTCAGATCGGCTAAAAACGTTCATTTTGTTTAATCTAACCTACCTCTCAACTGTACGTAGCTAGCTAGTTAGCTACGTTAGCTAATCAAAACGATGCTCTTAAATGACATATAATAGCATAATGCCGTGACAGTTTCATCAAGCGTAAGTAGAACGTTATAGCTATATCTATTCTTACCTTGATTGTCGGTATTAGCTACTCTTTGGCCATATGTCCAATATTATTTGGAGTCTCATCACAAAATCATACATAGATGGCTGTTGACTTATGTTGCAGTATCTTAGCCTGATTTATCCTGACTTTCTGGCAATTGTGTAATCAGGGCCCCGGTTCTAGGCATAAGTGACATAAGCGGTCGCTTAGGGGCCCCGACCCAAAACATTTGATGTGCCCTTGAGTAAGGCACTTAACCCTAATTGCTCCTGTATGTCGCTTTGGATAAGACCATCTGCTAAATTACTCAAATGTAAAATGTAGGTCGGGGGCCCCCCCAACCAAATCTCGCTAAGGGCCCCAAAAGGCTTCATAAACAACTTTTGAAATGCAAGCAACAGGTGATGAGACCAGTTACAGAAAGTATTACAATACCGAAACATAAAAACATCTAAATATTTCACTCAAGTCAACCTTCCAAACATGATTGTAATACAATCATCAGTACTATTCATATTAACCTACTGGACCTCCTTAGCACAAACAAGAACATGAAACAAAGATTATTCACTTTATTTTAAATGATGATGTAATGGTGAATGAATCACACATTGTTGAATGTGGTAGCTGCAAGCCGTCTCTGTTTACATCCCTCTCAGTCCAATCACCAATGACTGCTATAGTAGAGGAAGAGAGGTTACAATAGAAAAGGGTGGGGGGGCTAGATGGAGGTTAAGATCTCATGGAGTGTTACCCTTTTGTAGTGTATTAACCAGATAGTTATTAGAATCAGGTGCGCTAGTTTAGGGTTGGAGAAAACCTACCATTCGGTAACTCCAGGAGAGCCCTGTAACAGATCAAGCTGTTGATTCCATCTCGATCTGGTCATCTTCATCGTGGTACTCCAGCACTCAGGGGCCTGATTGGTCTCACACCTTTTCCCCAGCCCCAGCTAACTAAACTAATTACATTCTGAGGACTAGAGTCCTCTAGAGAATCACCTGAAAAACATAAATCGTGTCACAATTACTTTGTTTGCAAACTGTAGCAACACTGAAACGTTTTAAAAACCAAGCAATGCTCTCATATCTAAACTACATGCTTGTGGTCGGCAAAGAAAGCTAACAGGTACACCTAACAAACATTCAATGAAGTATAGTTAATGTGTTCAAAGAGTTGGATCATGTCTACGTATGGTAGCCAGGTAGAGGTGAGGTGGGGGGAATATGATTAGTCTATATAGAACAGTGTTTCTTAATCCTGTTCTTGGGGACCTAGCACTACACAGCCCATTCAAATGATCAACTTATCAAGATGATTTGAATCAGGTATGTAGTGCTAATGCAAAAACAGTGTATCTTCCTCCACTGTCCATCTCCCACAATGGGCTTAAACCAGTGATCCTCTGCTCGCAAACACACGTGACCATCCTCCTTGACAACATACCAACAGTTTGAGCTACCCAAAAGGTACCAATTGGATGGCTCCATCCGCGACATTGAGTTTACGGAACATTTTTAACTCTGTTACACTAATATATGATCACATACAAATGTTTATGTCTGTCATTCCTCTCGTGACCCACCTGCCCTCGGCACTACTCATTCATGTCGACTCTCTCTTAGACCATGGTACTGTAATTGTACTCATCAGTTTTGCCTTCATCGTTCTTCAGTGAGACGAGGTGGTGGTACTGGGGGGGGGGGGTCATCATTTAAATTGAATTGATTAGATTAGAATTTGGATGTGTTGTCCTGCCTTCTGTTTTCCTGCAGCAGGGTTCAAAGTCATGCTAATTCAGGTTGGGGGTGAGTTCCCTCTAGAATTTGGTTAGAAGGGCACTGAATTCGCTCATACTTTGAGAATCTTGTTAGAAAGCCCTGTGTGTATTCCTCGTTTATAGAGTAATTATTTGATTGACTACACGTTCATAATTTTGTACGTCTATTGGTAAAGATCATTTACACTATAGGCTACTCATAGAATTATACAGGATTTAACTTTACATCTCTGGCTAAGATAGACTTTATAAATTAAAGCTTAGACTATGGTTGCTATTAACCGCTCATAAGTGCCATAAGCCTTTTAATAATCACAAAGTCAATGCACAACATTTTCTTATCAGAATGTATGGCTCTCTCCCTGTTGCACTCGCAACATGATTGCGCCTCGAGAGGAATATTTATTTCTCACATGGAACGCACAACAACAAGCTGACTAGGTAAATAGTTAAACTATTCTACTATGGGGTTGTCGGATTTTGCTGTTCGTTACTCGTTTTGTTGGCAGAGGCCCTATAACTCTGTCTTCTCCCCCACTGACTCACCATTGCATGCCCAAGAGCAGGTAGCTAGCTAGCCTACTATAAGAAACCTAGCCTACTACTGCGAATTTTGTAGTAGGCTTGAGAAAATTCGGACAAAATACTAGACAGATGTGATCCTCTCAGTCAGTATACTACGTGAGACACATTTGATTGAAGTACCGAAATTAACAAAAAATGCTAGTACCGAACCGTTTTTCATGTTGTAGTATCAGAAACTTCGGTAAAACGTGCAACACTACATTACGATTGATCAAATCTGTAGTCTGTATAATATTGTCTAGTCTGTGTAAAAATCTTTCTATAATTCCATACCGACCACTCAGTCACTTACAGTACATCATATTTATACACACATTATTTACTAGTGTATACACTAATATACACATACAAGTAGACTTATGAATGTGTTGTGTACTACAGGAGGCAGTGAGTCTTCTGTCGGGTCACTCCTGTCTGCCTCCTGGCTCCAGTGTAACGTTGGCCCAGGCCACTCTACTGCTCAGTGATCTGAGAGGGACAGGCAGCCAGGCCCTACACCTCCTCACACAGAAACTACTACAGCAACAGGTCTGTCAGACATAGTCCCTCCAACTTCTCTTTCTCCCCTCATGACTCCAACCACGGTCTTATTTTCTGAACTTTTTTTCTGAACCACAACAGGCTCGATTCGAAGTATGGTTAACTCAGAAAAATACAAATAAATCCTTGTCTCTCCTCTCCACCACTCTCTTGTTCATTATTTCTTTGCATTGTCCCTCGATTAACTTACCTGACTGCCTGTATTACAGTCGGAACACTGATTTTTCTTAATGTGTGTGTATTGTCTCTTCTCAGCTGTGTGTGTTGGGGGAGAGTGTGTCATTGGGAGAGAGTGGCAGAGTAATCCTCCCTCCAGCCCCTGGTCTCTCTAACATCTACCTCCCACATCTCCCACTACTGGCCAAGGCCACCATGCGCCTGGGTATGATTCATACTGTACCACAGTTCTCAAACGTTTCAACCCAGTGACTGTAATACACATAGGTCCTTGAAGATGCCAGACCTACCTGTATGTGGACCTATCTTATGAACAATCACTTAATCAGTCTCTCTATCTGTTCTTACAGGTCACTGCTTGGCTGTACAGGCCATGACCAGCGCCCCTGCCTCCAGCGTGTCTAGCCCCAGAAGCTCCTCTACCCCCTGGGTGTGTGCTCAGGAGGTGCTGCAGTCAGCCCTGCTCCTTTCCCAGGCCTGTGCTACCAGAGACAGACAGCTGGAGGCTGATATCCTCTACTGCAAGGGTAAGACATTTCTTTCCAACCTTATTCAATCACGAGATGAGATATGTATGTGTGCATATGTGTATCAATCTGCTCATTGAATGTCAGAGTGACCTTAGTTGGATGATCTTTGGTGTGTGTGTGTCCAGGGATGGTGGAGCGCTGTCTGATGTCTCTCAGTGACTTCCAGCCTCAGACAGTTGCAGTGACACTACTGGAGAGCATCAATATCTCTCTGTCCCAGAGTCACAATCTACAGTAAGTCACCTACAGTAGTGTGTATGGTCATCTTTGAGAGTAGTATACGGAACTCCTCAAACACCAGTGTGCTTGTTTGACTGAAGCATGTGTGTTGTGTGTGTCAGGCTGATCCGTAAGTGTTATCTGGAGATGGCCTTAGTGTACCTGCACCAGTGGGAGCAGAGCAGCCCAGCACCTCAGGACCAGCAGAACCCCGTCCCACCTTCACCACCTAAAAAGGCCATACTGAAGGTACCTGTTGTGCTTCCGCAGGGCAGTATTTTTCTATTGAGAGGAGTATGTATGTGTATGCCTGCATCATGGCGTGTGTGTGTTTGTCTCTTTTCAGCCTCCAGGTTGGAAGCGTGTCAGGACTACTCTGAACAGAGGCCTGACTCCAGGGGAGGCCTACTTATTGCTCTACTGGGTCTCTGTTAGAGCTGCTACTAAGGTAAATAGACTGAACACACACAAACACACACACACACACACACACACACACACACACACACACACACACACATACATAATGTTGTGTGTGTTCCTCAGGCGTCTGAAGCCATGTCCACATGTAGCCAGCTGTGTGGTAGTACCGGAGCTAAAGGAGGACACCTGCCTCTCATCTCCCTCAAGGTCCTGCCTGACTTTGCCTCCAACGACCTGCTCAACCCCTGTGGTAAACAAACATCCCCCACTACACTACCACCACTACTACCATTATGTCCTTTAGCCAGGGCTACATCTAGTCTTACAATAACAGCCATTATAAAAGTCGTGTTCGTGTTAGATTGTGATCTACATCGTTAGCAGTTCTGTAATGTTCTCTCCTCTTTATGAGGAAAGGAGATATCATGCCTTGTTGGGTGCCTTTATGGAAATCGTAACAGTGCTGGTTACCATATTTGTAATGTCTGTCTGTGTGTTGTGTGACTCTACCAGGAGGGATAGACGTGATGATGAGGACTGTCTCCAGCCCGTCTCCAGAGCTTGATCCTGGGCTGAGCAGCAGGAAACGCTCCCAACTCACATGGGTCCACCTGTCCCGCTACTACAAACACCTGTTCAACCTGCAGCACATCGCCATGCGCCCAGGTACACTACACAGAGCTGTGTGTGTGTGTCACAGTAAATCATTTTGTTAACTGACGTTCAGAGATGTTTATCTCTGTGTGTGCCTGCGTGCTTGCCTACGTGTGTGTGTGTGTGTGTTCCAGTGGTGCCCCAGTGTGTGGAGGGCCTGGTGTCCCAGTCAGAAGACAGTAGTTTGGCGCTGAGGTTGGTTCAGCTCCAGACCTTCTTCTGTTCCCACATGGTGGCCTACAGAGAGTCCTGCTGCGCCCCTGAACCACCCACTGAAATCATCATGCAGCCACAGATTATACAGGTACACACACTAATAGACAGTATGGGCTGAATCCTAAAGAGATGCATGCATATACTGTACCATGGCTTGTATTGGGATGTTTATTCAAGTTAGCCCTGGCTTCTTCACCTTGAATCTGAAGGCTGCCTTCTGGGGTTATCCACAGTTGAGGTGTGAATTGAATGCTGTTGTATGTTGATGCTGTTTGTGTGTGTGTGTGTGTTAAAGATGTGTCCCACAGTGAGAGGCACTATGGGAGCTCAGATGTACCCCTGGTCCTTTGCTGACAGGAAGCAGCTGTGTATCCAGTGGCACCGGCCTGCTCTCAGCCCCACCCAGGAAGACACGGACACGGTACAATACACAACACACACACACTCTTCATCCAACCACACACAGTCATCAACCATAAAATTAGCTAGCCTGGTCTCAGATCTGTTTGTGCTATCTTACCAACTCCTAGTCACTTATTGTCACGCCAAACAGGTTGGTAACCACTGCCTTACAGGGTTGTCTTTGACAGTGTTTCTCCGTTTCTCTCTGTGTTCGTCAGGTCATGCTGCTGTTTGGTCTGAACAAAGTGCCACTGTCGGCCATGAGGGCAACAGCCTGCGCTGTCATAGAGCTGCAGTGTGGACAGAAACTCGTCAGCATGGCAAAGTAGGTAACTGCTTTCCATGTACAGCAGCCTAGGTGCTAGGGGCGAGATGGAGCTATCACCATATTGTAGCGTCTAACGAGTGGCTAATATGGTTAGTTTAGGAGCTGGAAGTTGATATGGGACTGGCCACATCTGTATCCATTCTCTCTGTAATAATTCTTACAGTATCTAAAATAAAAAATAAATATGCCATTTAGCAGACGCTTTTATCCAAAGCGACTTACAGTCATGCGTGCATACATTTTTGTGTATGGGTGGTCCCGGGGATCGAACCCACTACCTTGGCGTTACAAGCGCCGTGCTCTACCAGTTGAGCTACAGAGGACCACATGATGCATGTCCTACCTTGCTTCAAAGTAGCATTGCCAAAATCCAACCAAACATTCAGGCAATTATTTTATAAAGACTTCCATATGCCATTGAAACCAGTAGCCTTTTTATCTCATGTTCTATTATTGGTTTTCAAATCAACCTTCTTTCACTGTCCAGTAGCCAAAGGCACAATCCTGGTCATATTAGCAACCATGCTAGTTGTTGCATATTTAGATCTCCCCCTCTTTCTAAGTTTGTAATGGATATTGACATCTCTGTCACATGAAACTGCTCACAATTGTATCTCTTACAGTATCTCTCCCTAAACCATTTTGTCTTATCTACTTCAGTTGAATTCACTAACCGTATTTAACTATGAAGAACAGCATCTAAATTAAATGAATCTTATATAGCTAACTAAATGTAATGTAACCTCTGTGACCACCAGCACCACCCCATGTGTTCTTCTCTAGACTGTGCACGGTCCATGCTCAGCTGGCCTCAGCCTGTGTTGGGGGTAACATCTCCTCTCCGCCTGCTGCCAGTAGCGCCCCCTCCTCCCCCAGCCCCAAGATGGAGAGGCAACGCCGCACCAAGATCCCAGACAAGGCTGTTACCTCCAGCCCTCACATACAGGTCTGTGTGGTACTGGTTACGGCTCTGACACGCCTTATTCCATGCCTTATATCCACATTCACACATGTTAACAGTGATGGAAAAAGCACTCAATTGTCATACTTGAGTAAAAGTAAAGATACCTTAATACACTGAACAAAAATAAACGCAACAATTAAAATAAATTCATTAGGCCCTAATCTCTGGATTTCACATTACTGGGCATACAGATATGCATCTGTTGGTCACAGATACCTTTTTTTAATTAAAGTAGGGGCGTGGATCAGAAAACCAGTCAGTATCTGATGTGACCACCATTTGCCTCATACAGCGTGACACATCTCCTTCGCATAGAGTTGATCAGGCTGTTGATTGTGGCCTGTGGAAAATTGTCCCACTCCTCTTCAATGGTTGTGCGAAGTTGCTGGATATTGGCGGGAACTGGAACACGCTGTCATACACGTCCATCCAGAGCATCCCAAACATGCTCAATGGGTGACATGTATGGTGAGTATGCAGGCCATGGAAGAACTGGGACATTTTCAGCTTCTAGGAATTGTGTACAGATCCTTGCGACATGGGGCCGTGCATTATCATGCTGAAACATGTGATGAATGGCACGACAATGGGCCTCAGGATATCGTCACGGTATGTATAAAATGCAATTGTGTTCGTTGCCCGAAGCTTATGCCTGCCCATACCATAAGCCCACCACCACGGGGCACTCTGTTCACAACGTTGATCACACGAAGCCATACACGCTGTCGGCAACCTGCCTGATACAGTTGAAACCGGAATTCATCCATGAAGAGCATACTTCTCCAGTGTGCCAATGGCCATCGAAGGTGAGCATTTGCCCACTGAAGTCGGTTACGACACCGAACTGCAGTCAGGACAATGAGCACGCAGATGAACTTTCCTGAGACGGTTTCTGACAGTTTGTGCAGACATTTTACGGTTGTGCAAACCCACAGTTTCATCAGCTGTCTGGGTGGCTGGTCTCAGACGATCCCGCAGGTGAAGAAGCCGGATGTGGAGGTCCTGGGCTGGCGTGGTTACACATGGTCTGTGGTTGTGAGGCCAGTTGGGCGTACTGCCAAATTCTCTAAAACAACGTTGGAGAGAAATGGTAGAGAAATGAACATTCAATTATCTGGCAAAAGCTCTGGTGGACATTCCTGCAGTCAGCATGCCAATTGCACGCTCCCTCAACTTGAGACATATGTGACATTGTGTTGCGTGACAAAACTGCACATTTTAGAGTGGCCTTTTATTGTCCCCAGCACAAGGTGCACCTGTGTAATGATCATGCCGTTTTAATCAGCTTCTTGATATGCCACACCTGTCAGGTGGCGGATTATCTTGGCAAAGGAGAAATGCTCACTAACAGAGATGTAAACACATTTGTGCACATTTGAGAGAAATACTGTAAGCTTTTTGTGGTTATGGAACATTTCTGGGATCTTTTATTTCAGCTCATGAAACATGGGACCAACACTTTACATCTTGAGTTTATATTTTTGTTCACTAATGAAGGTGTGGCGGAGGTGTGTCTACAGATACACTGTATTCAAACCTTGACTTAATTCCCTAATAATTCCACCAACTTTACGAGTGAATAAAGTCTAGCGAACCTACCGATTCCAAATGGAAAAAATATAGAAATAAACACCATTCTCCATGAACTGTAATTTATAACTTGATAAGAGCTGTTGGTAAGAGCTAGGTAAATGAGTGATCTGTTTGGATAAGGGAATTGTAAATATTAATGACACTTGTTTTAGATATATTTTACCTTATTGCTGGAGACAAATGTGAAACCAGTCATATGGCAGCAAACTGAAGCATATCAACATTCCCACAATAAAGTTTATGAAATGCTGTGTCATTATGCAGAATTTAAATTGTACAGCCTATTAACTTGCATGGATGGGCACTCTCGAATGTCTACGCTGACTTTCTCTGTTTCCTATTTCCATCATGTTAAATATCACTATCAGTATCAACTGTCAGTAGGCATAATAATAACACATATTCAACTGCCAATTTACTGGTACACTACATGGTATGTGGACACCATTTCAAATTAGTGTTTTTGGCTATTTCAGCCACACTGGTTGCTGACAGGTGTATAAAATCGAGCACACCGCCATTCAATCTCCATAGACAAACATTGACAGTAAAATGGCCCGTACTAAAAAGCTCAGTGACTTTCAACGTGGCACCGTCATAGGATGCCACCTTTCCAACAAGTCAGTTCGTCAAATTTCTGCCCTGCTAGAGCTGCCCCGGTCAACAGGCCTTTATGGTAGAGTGGCCAGACGGAAGCCACTCCTCAGTAAAAGGCACATGACAGCCTGCTTGGAGTTTGCTAAAAGACCCCTAAAGGACTCTCAGACCATGAGAAACAAGATTCTCTGGTCTGATGAAACAAAGATTGAACTCTTTGGCCTGAATGCCAAACGTCACGTCTGGAGGAAACCTGGCACCATCCCTATGCTGAAGCAGGGTGGTGGCAGCATCATGTTGTGGGTATGTTTTTCAGCAGCAGGGACTGGGAGACTAGTCAGGATCGAGGGAAAGATGAACAGAGCAAAGTGCAGAGAGATCCTTGATGAAAACCTGCTCCAAAGCGCTCAGGACCTCAGACTGGGGTGAAGGTTCACCTTCCGACAGGACAACGACCCTAAGCATACAGCCAAGGCAACGCAGGAGTGGCTTTCGGGACAAGTCTCTGAATGTCCTTGAGTGGCCCAGCCAGAGCCCAGACTTAAACCCGATCGAACATCTCTGGAGAGAAAATAGCTGTGCAACGACACTCCTCATCCAACCTGACAGAGCTTGAGAGGATCTGCAGAGAAGAATGGGAGAAACTCCCCAAATACAAGTGTGTCAAGCTTGTAGCGTCATACCCAAGAAGACTCGAGGCTGTAATCGCTGCCAAAGGTGCTTCAACAAAGTACTGAGTAAAGGGTCTGAATACTTACCGTATTGGTCCGAATATAAGACGGCCTTTTTTCCCCTCGAAATAGGTCCAAAAAAGTCGGGTCGTCTTATATTCGGGGTCTAGTATTCAGAGCGCAGTTTCTCTTCTTCGGCGCTCCCTTTAAATGTCAATACACATTCGCGGGCACAGATGGCGCCAAAAATTCGTTCCGGACGGAGGGAAGAGGCGTCCTTAACAACCAGCCCGTTACCGGTGTTTAAAGATGGAAAGACAGGCTGACCATTTAGAGACAAGTGGCTCAAAAGTGGGCCAGGTCAATAAACAACAGCGGAGGAGCTATGATGCCAATTTCAAAATAATGGTTGTCAATAAGGCAGAGTCATCTAACAACTGCCAAGCTGCCAAGACATTCGGGGTCACTGAGTGTAATGTAAGAAGATGGCGAGCAGAAAAACAACGTCTAAAAGATGCTAACAGTCAGCGAAAATCCTTCCGTGGTCCTCAAAGTGGTCGTTTCATTGAGGTTGACCGGAGGGTTTTTGAATATGTCAGGGAAAAAAGAAGTGAGGGAATGCCCATTACCAGAGCTGTCATCCAGGTTAAGGCCCTGGAAATCGCCAGAGAGCTCAACATCACTGGATTTAAAGCCAGCCTCGGCTGGTGTCGTAGGATGATGCGGCGTAATGGACTGTCACTTAGACGGAGAACGAGTTTGGCCCAACGCCTGCCGTCAGACTTCGGAGAGAAGCTGCTTTCGTTTCAGCGCTTTGTTATCAACCTGAGGAAGAAGCACTCCTACCCGCTGGATCAGATCGGCAATGCTGATCAGACACCCGTTTATTTCGACATGCCAACATCGGTGACTGTCAATAGAAAGGGAGAAAAGTCTGTGTTGGTGAAATCAACGGGCAACGAGAAGAGCCGCGTCACTGTCATGTTGACATGTCTCGCTGGTGGCAGCAAACTCCCCCCGTATGTCATTCTTAAGCGTAAGACTGTGCCAAAGGACCCAATGCCAGCTGGCATTATTGTGCGCGCCCAGGAGAAGGGCTGGATGGAGTCGGGGCTTGTAGTGGACTGGCTAAAGGTTGTGTGGGGCGCACGCTACGGGGGACTGAGGAAGAGGAGGAACATGCTCGTTCTGGATGCGTTCCGCGGACATCTGACTGAGCCCGTGAAAAGTCAGGTGCGAGCAATGAACGGGGATCTTGTGATCATACCAGGGGGAATGACAAGCCAGCTACAGGTGTTGGACGTAGTTGTGAACAAGCCTTTCAAGGATAACCTGCGAAAAAAATACACAGAGTGGCTCCTGTCTGGCAACCACGCACTCACACCGACCGGGAAAATACAGAAGCCGTCAGTCCGTCTACTGTGTGAATGGATCCTGCATGCATGGGATGCTATTCCCTCACAGAGCATCATCGATGGCTTTAAAAAATGTTGCATCTCAAATGCATTGGACGGCAGCGAGGACGACGTGCTTTGGGAGGAGCCGGTGGAAGCGGAGCAGCTGGGGAGCGATGACAGCGAGAGCGAACACAGCGGGCAGAGGACGTGTGTGAGGGATAGAGAGACATCGGAGGAGAAGTTTGGCGAATTTTTGTTAAGTTTAGTTAAATGTGTGGCCTGTATTTTCTCTGTTATTTAAAAATGTTGCTTTATTATTGCTTGATATTAATTTTGAATCATACTGTACATAGTTTGCCTTTGTGTTTAATTCACTGTGTTTTTAATATTGTTATTTTAAAATAAAATGAAGTTCTTTGTTCGGCAAATCTAGTCTGCAAATCTGTTTTTCTAAATGTTTGTGTTGAAAAACGGGGGGTCGTCTTATAATCAGGGTCGTCTTATATTCGGACCAATACGGTATGTAAATGTGATATTTCCGTTTTTTATTTTGAATACATGTGCAAAAATTTATAAAAACCTGTTTTTGCTTTGTTATTATGGGGTATTGTGTGTAGATTGATGAGGGGGGGGGGGGGGGGGGGACAATTTAATCCATTTTAGAATAAGGATGTAACCTAACAAAAGGTGGAAAAAGTCAAGGGGTCTGAATACTTTCTGAATGCACTGTATATTTTGTGCGTCAAGGCTCTCCAAACCAGTTTTTTTAATGATTCATACATACTTTCCTAACCTTAAAATTTGCCTAAATAATCTACCAGTTGGTGTTGGAACTATATTTAGATGGATTTCTTTCAGTGATCCCTATTTTCTGAACCCGTTCTCTCGATGTATTCTAGTCTGTCGACACAATTCTAATTAAAAGGTATACCGTATTTCAAGGGATGGCTTAAGATACATTTACAAAAAACCCTATTTAATGAAAACTCCACAAGAAAATATGTTGGCCAGCAAGTGGGAGGGTTTTCAGTGGTTGAATGACATTTATTTAGTTTGCGCAAGGGAACCATGCCTGCAAAGCCCGTTACGCACCTTCATAAGGTAAGTATGAATACAAACTGCTGAGAAGTGCATAGGAAATTGGAATCGGGCCCAATATGCATAGTATTTTTGAAGGGGGTCTGAATACTTTCCGAATGCACTGTATTATTATATCTGACTAACATTTTAGAACCTTATAGTCCCACGGTCTCGATTTGTAATTGAACAAGTCATTGCATATATATATATATATATATACAGTGGGGAGAACAAGTATTTGATACACTGCCGATTTTGCAGGTTTTCCTACTTAAAGCATGTAGAGGTCTGTAATTTTTATCATAGGTACACTTCAACTGTGAGAGACGGAATCTAAAACAAAAATCCAGAAAATCACATTGTATGATTTTTAAGTAATTAATTTGCATTTTATTGAATGACATAAGTATTTGATCACCTACCAACCAGTAAGAATTCCGGCTCTCACAGACCTGTTAGTTTTTCTTTAAGAAGCCCTCCTGTTCTCCACTCATTACCTGTATTAACTGCACCTGTTTGAACTCGTTACCTGTATAAAAGACACCTGTCCACACACTCAAACAGACTCCAACCTCTCCACAATGGCCAAGACCAGAGAGCTGTGTAAGGACAACAGGGATACAATTGTAGACCTGCACAAGGCTGGGATGGGCTACAGGACAATAGGCAAGCAGCTTGGTGAGAAGGCAACAACTGGAAGAAAATGGAAGAAGTTCAAGATGACGGTCAATCACCCTCGGTCTGGGGCTCCATGCAAGATCTCACTCGTGGGGCATCAATGATCATGAGGAAGGTGAGGGATCAGCCCAGAACTACACGGCAGGACCTGGTCAATGACCTGAAGAGAGCTGGGACCACAGTCTCAAAGAAAACCATTAGTAACACACTACACAGTCATGGATTAAAATCCTGCAGCACACGCAAGGTCCCCCTGCTCAAGCCAGCGCATGTTCCAGGCCCGTCTGAAGTTTGCCAAGTGACACTGATGAGACAAAAATAGAGCTTTTTGGTCTAAACTCCACTCGCCGTGTTTGGAGGAAGAAGAAGGAACCCCAAGAACACCATCCCAACCGTGAAGCATGGAGGTGGAAACATCATTCTTTGGGGATGCTTTTCTGCAAAGGGGACAGGACGACTGCACCGTATTGAGGGGAGGATGGTTGGGGCCATGTATCGCGAGGTCTTGGCCAACAACCTCCTTCCTCAGTAAGAGCATTGAAGATGGGTCGTGGCTGGGTCTTCCAGCATGACAACGACCCGAAACACACAGCCAGGGCAACTAAGAAGTGGCTCCGTAAGAAGCATCTCAAGGTCCTGGAGTGGCCTAGCCAGTCTCCAGACCTGAACCCAATAGAAAATCTTTGGAGGGAGCTGAAAGTCCATATTGCCCAGCGACAGCCCCGAAACCTGAAGGATCTGGAGAAGGTCTGTATGGAGGAGTGGGCCAAAATCCCTGCTGCAGTGTGTGCAAACCTGGTCAAGACCTACAGGAAACGTATGATCTTTGTAATTGCAAACAAAGGTTTCTGTACCAAATATTAAAGTTCTGCTTTTCTGATGTATCAAATACTTATGTCATGCAATAAAATGCAAATGAATTACTTAAAAATCATACAATGTGATTTTCTGGATTTTTGTTTTAGATTCCGTCTCTCACATTTGAAGTGTACCTATGATAAAAATTACAGACCTCTACATGCTTTGTAAGTAGGAAAACCTGCAAAATTAGCAGTGTATCAAATACTTGTTCTCCCCACTGTGTATGTGTATATATATATATATTTTAATTGTTTTACTTGATTTGAAAAGAAGCGTGTGACTTGACTTGCTCTTAGAATGTACGACTTGGACTTGACTCGACCCCTTCTACTTGGGATTCGACTTGAGACTCAGACCTTGTGACTTGCTTGTAACTCTAATAATAGTGACTTAGTACTCAAGGGATATTCAAAGTGGAACGTGCCGTTAAGCACCTAAAGAGTTGTCAATGCACCACACTGTCAGCAGCACTTATGTAATCGGACATCATGGGAGAGCTCAAGACCGAGATCTCTGTCAGATTTTCTTATAGTTGTTTCAGTTGTTTTAGTAAATTGAATCGTGTATTTTGCAATTAACAATGTCTTATTTTTTAATCACATTATTATTTGGCCTTTGTAGTTCAGCAGCCTATATTGAAATGTAACTGTTCAACCAAAAATGTGTAGAGGAGAAATGCATACACATTATGATAATAAAGAAAGATGTATAAATAATGTCCAAGTGAACTATCGAAATGTCTGATGAATGCAAAAAAAAAAGTATCAAAGGAACATTGTCCATAAATCAAAACCAAAATGTAGGCAGCTTTATGAAACAAAATATACAGTTTGTTTGGAAAGTATTCAGACCCCTTGACTTTTTCCACATTTTGTTACGTTACAGCCTTATTCTAAAATGGATTTTTAAAAATATATACATTTCTCATCAATCTACACACAATACCCCATAACGACAAAGTAAAAACAGTTTTTGTTTTTGTTTTTTGCGAATGTCTTGCATGAAGAATTGCATGAAATGCGTTTATGAAAGGCCAACATTTTCCCGGACCCTAGGCTACTATACATTTTCCCCATGTGTGCACTTCTGTAAGTGCCTCTAATCTATGCTCTATGCCACTACGCAAATGCGATGATATGATGCAATGCTTTATAATCAGCCCAGAACTCACCGGCAGGACCTGGTCAATGACCTGAAGAGAGCTGGGACCACAGTCTCAAAGAAAACCATTAGTAACACACTACACAGTCATGGATTAAAATCCTGCAGCACACGCAAGGTCCCCCTGCTCAAGCCAGCGCATGTCCAGGCCCGTCTGAAGTTTGCCAATGACCATCTGGACGATCTAAAGGAGGAATGGGAGAAGGTCATGTGGTCTGATGTCAAAACTATGAAATAACACATATGGAATCATGTAGTAACCAAAAAAGTGTTAAAAAAATTATTCAAAGTAGCCACCCTTTGCCTTGATGACAGCTTTGCACACTCTTGGCATTCTCTCAACCAGCTTCAAGGGGTCTGTCATGAAAAATAATTGTAACTTTTTCCAATGTACAATTTTTTATAAAAACGATCAAAGATCATTCGAGTTGCCTCTTCGTTTATTCTCCTGCCCCCACAAAAAAAGTTGATTTGGGTTGGGCCGGCCCGGATTCATGATTTGAGACCAACGCATGGCCGTGGCTGTGTGAGAAGCGTGCCAGTATCGCTCACATAACTAGAATGAGTTTCACTTTCTATGATCTCTCGCCCTCTCTGCTCTGATAGACATGAGCCTGCAACTCTTATCTCTCCAGCGTTGTACTTCATCATGTATTTCCTTATAGAATCATAGCTGCGTGAAGAGTTCTGGAGGAACTGCAGCACCCCTGATAAATGTAAATACATTTGCCAAAGTTTTAGAATGGTTGCGGTCTGTTCAGAAATAAATGAAATTATTCTGAATAGCCTACTACACCATGAGAAGGGCTATAATTTAGCTTATTTATTTAAATAGCCTAGCTGTGGATTGTAGCCCAATAACAACGAATAGCCTACAGTCGGGAACGCGAGGCAAATTTGTCAGTGAAAAAACACCACGCATTTTTAGGACTATAATTTCCTCCTCATATTGTAGCCTACAATATGTGTCGCCACACACCTAGGCTATTGATCGATTCAAGACAAGGTCGTTTTTGTCAGGTCAAAGTACCCTGCCATTTCTATCATTTGTGCAGTATAAACAAATATTCTGCCAAAGTCTCCAGTCATCTAAAATTACGTAGAATTGCATGAAATGCGTTTATGAAAGGCCAACATTTTCCCGGACCCTAGGCTACTATACATTTTCCCCATGTGTGCAACTTCTGTAAGTGCCTCTAATCTACTGCTCTATGCCACTACGCAAATGTGATGATATGCATGTAATACTTTATAATAAAGGTGATTTTTTTTCCCTCATGCGTTCTGGTACCTCAGAACTCCCCAGGTCACCCCCCTCTAACACTCACTTTTTGTTCCGGCACCTCCCGATTTACAAATTAAGCACTGGTCAACAGTACATGTAAGTGAATCTGTGTATTAGTGAGCACATGTTTTGTGTGTTGGTTGATTGTTTCAGATGCTACAGGAGAAGACCAGGTGCTGCTGTGCTGCTATAAAGGATTTACTACAACCTGGTTCAGAGGCAGCTGTTCTCACTGAGGTAAGCTAAACACACCACACACTGATTCAACACCCCCCCGAAGTTCACATACTTGTGTCGTGGAAATTACCACTAAGGACTCAAAAGTCCAAGTTAAATGAACAGATCTTTGTTATCATGGCCGGAGAGGTTATAACAAACTTAATGCTCAGAGTAAAAGTCTGTCAGAAGCTCTGAAGGGATGCTCATGCACAAACGAGGCGTCTCTGCCTTCAGGGTGCAATAGGTTGATCATGACCTTGCACACACAGTTTCTAGGCGTTGGGCCAAAGTAACAATGTGTTCCCTTCTTTCTGTTCTTCTGTCAGTCCCTTCCCTGAGAGCAAAGTCACAGAACATCCTAACACAATAACAAGAAACAATACACTACATGTAGTCACGCATTTGCAGAGACATAGAAAACACTAGAAATGTCCACTACACTTGGACAAACCTAAAACGTACAGTACTGTAGATGCTTACTATGGCTTGAATGTGTGAAACATTTGATCTTATGCCTCTTCCATGGCATTTATATAACCCTTTTACCCTGTTAACTTTGATAGACATGCAGATATTACTTGTGAAATGATTCCCTCTCTCTGTGTGCCAGGTTCCGTTTGAGGCCAGCCTACATAGTCTGTGTGATCTGGAGCGCTGCTTCAACCCAGCCAGTGGAGCCATTGTGGAGGAAAACACACTGATAACATGGCTCATGTCCCTGCTAGTCTGATACCCTATCCGGTCTATGGACCAGCACAGCACCATAGAAAAAGACAAACCCAATGACATGAATCAAATGGCCAAGACCAAAGATAGCATACTGCACCTACCTAGCTAAGTGACTTCATCAGACTCTTTCACTCTGAAATAAATGAGCATGGATAAAGATGATTTTTGTAAAAACTAAATTAAAGTGCTTACATTTTAATTTCTTATTCTTTATTCATGTACAGTCGTGGTCAAAGGTTTTGAGAATGACACAAATGCTAATTTTCACAAAGTCTGCTGCCTCAGTTTTGATGATGGCAATTTGCATATACTCCAGAATGTCATGAAGAGTGATCAGATGAATTGCAAAGTCCTCTTTGCCATGAAAAAAAACATTTCCACTGCATATCAGCCCTGCCACAAAAGGACCAGCTGCCATCATGTCAGTGATTCTCTCGTTAACACAGGTGAGAGTGTTGACGAGGACAAGGCTGGAGATCACTCTGTCATGCTGATTGAGTTAGAATAATAGACTGGAAGCGTTAAAAGGAGGGTGGTGCTTGAAATCATTGTTCTTCCTCTGTTAACCATGGTTACCTGCAAGGAAACACGTGCCGTCATCATTGCTTTGCACAAAAAGGGCTTCACAGGCAAGGATATTGCTGCTAGTAAGATTGCACCTAAATCAACCATTTATCGGATCATCAACAACTTCAAGGAGAGAGGTTCAATTGTTGTGAAGAAGGCGTCAGGGCGCCCAAGAAAGTCCAGCAAGCGCCAGGACCGTCTCCTAAAGTTGATTCAGCTGCAGGATCGGGGCACCACCAGTGCAGTGCTTGCTCAGGAATGGCAGCAGGCAGGTGTGAGTGCATCTGCACGCACAGTGAGGCGAAAACTTTTGGAGGATGGCCTGGTGTCAAGAAGGGCAGCAAAGAAGCCACTTCTCTCCAGGAAAAACATCAGGGACAGACTGATATTCTGCATAATGTACAGGAATTGGATTGTTGAGGACTGGGGTAAAGTCATTTTCTCTGATGAATCCACCTTGTCCGGAGAAGACAAGGTGAGCGCTACCATCAGTCCTGTGTCATGCCAACAGTAAAGCATCCTGAGACCATTCATGTGTGGGGTTGCTTCTCAGCCAAGGGAGTGGGCCCACTCACAATTTTGCCTAAGAACACAGCCATGAATAAAGAATGGTACCAATACATCCTCCGAGAGCAACTTCTCCCAACCATCCAAGAACAGTTTGGTGACAACCAATGCCTTTTCCAGCATGATGGAGCACCTTGCCATAAAGCAAAAGTGATAACTAAGTGGCTCGGGGAACAAAACGTTGAAAGGGGGAGAGGAGGGAGACCCATGTACCCCGCTTCAATCAAGCAGGCTTCCGTCACTCACTTAGCTTCAGTCATCCCCAAGATTGAAGCGGGAGACAAATCCAGCTATGGCCTCCTCCTTGTTAGGCCTCTCACTCTGGGCAGACAGGGGTCCTGGGATGGACAGCTTGCAAAGCTTCCCCACATACGGCGCTGGATCAAGGGTGACCTCGTTGAAGAGGAGATCCAGGAGCCTGTCTACGTAGCCTGTAATGTTTCTGAAAAGGGAAATGTTTGTTAAATGGGTAGTGAATTCGTTTATGTAGTGATCTACTCATTCTACAATGTGTTTTTTGGTATTTTTTGAAGTTCTCATTTTGAAATATGCAATATTTGGTATTGCAATTTTTTGTGAAACTTTTCAATGTTAGTATTTGGAATGTGTGTGCCTGAAATGCTCAATTTATTTTAAATGAATAACTATGACTTAAAGTATGTTTGGTCTGTCTTTACAGGCTTCACAGCATATCCCCCCTTTGCCTTGGGAAAGCTGATTTTGTATCACAGCATTCCTGCTGCGGTGGTTGCCTGGGAAGATGTGCAGACAGGGTAGATGTTGAATTTTCTAAAATGGCTATCATTACAGCTTACATTACAACAAAGCCGTATGATGCGGTTGTGATGACGGTTTTAAGGCGTTACATATTTAAATGAGTTAGCTACGATTAGAAGACGTTACCATTGGTGTATAAAATGACCGGCATTACGTGACGTTGCATAATGCTGATGAGTTCGTTGGCTGACATAATTGCAAGAGACCTGAAAGTTCTAAGATGGCGACGGAAGAGGACTATTGGGGCAGGGACACAGAAAGGAGGATTTCTGAAGAGGATGGGGGAGGAAGAAGAGAATGCAGAAAGCTGAGGGTGGAGTTGGCAATAAAAATGGAGATGGGGATGTTGAAGAGATTGGTGTCAAGTGCAAACAGAGTGAGCCGTGCGCCAGACCGAGTTCTGGAGGTGAAATGGAAGTGAATGAGGGCGAGTTAAGTAAGTTGGAAGTTGTGGTGAAGAGCTCGGAGCCCGAGCCTGGCATCGATGGACATTATGAAAAAGAATCTGGTCTAGTACGAGTTAACTTTTGGGAGAAAGTGGATCCTTGCCTTTTGGTGGATACATTTGTGGTTTCAGGATGGGTGGGAAAGGAGTTGGGTGCAGTTGAGTCAGTGAAGGTAACCTGTAGTGGACTTGTGATATTTGTTTGTGTTTCTTCTGTCCAGAGGGAGCGGGCGCTCCGTGTCACGCAACTTGGGTCAAGATCTGTTTCTTGCTTTACGCTTAGGAATAGGGCATCATTGAAAGGAGTGATTTCTGGGTTAGAGGAGGTGGAGCAATTGAAGTTTAAGATTCCTGGTGTTTGTGACGCCTGCCGTTTGGTGCGGCGCAGACCCGGTGGTGAGCGTGGTGAAACAGAGTCACTGTCAGTCTTGAGTTTTTACCCGACAGTCATGGTAGGATATATCAGGTATCTTGTTAGAGCTTTTGTCCCGAATCCAGGTGCAACGTTTATGGTCATGTTGCAGCAGTGTGTAGGAGGGAGATGCCAAGATGTGGGAAGTGTGCAGGAGGGCATGGGACAGAGGATTGTGTAGTTTCGGTGGATGAAATTATGTGTCAACTGTACGGGGTGCTGATGTTGCTGGGGATCGGAGGTGTCTGGTGTGAGAGAGGCAGGTTGAGGTGGCCAGAGTCAGAATAGTGCAGAAGGTGTCATGCTGAAGCAGTGAAGAAAGTAGAGATGGATGGGTCAAGGGTGAGGGATCTGAAGAGGATCCCTGTGAGTAGTAGATCTGTGCCAGCACAGAGGGATAGGCCAATGAGTGATATATGCTTCAGGAAGATTGGATTCTTAGTGTTCATAGCAATAAGCGTAAATCACAGAAAATAGATGTGGTGGTGGCAGCTACAGAGAAGTATTTGTCTATATGAGATTTGAAGAGTTACAGGGTGTGTTGAGTGGTGGTGTCCCGTTCTCTTAGGTCATTGGCATGGTGCAGGAGCAGATAGGGCCAAAGTAGTGGAATGGGGTAGTGGGTTTTTAATGAGTATTGTTAGTTGGAAGGGTTTTTTATAATTTTGGTGTATAGGTGTGGGGTTAGTTGGTGGTACAATAAAATGTATGCACGCATGACTAAGTCGCTTTGGATAAAAGCGTCTGCTAAATGGCATATTATTATTATTAATTATTATTTATTTTTTGGCTCTTTAAAAAAAAATCACAAATGTAATGTGATTAACCACACAGTAGGTGGCGGCATGCACAAAGAAAATGTGCGAACGCCATGATACCAACGAAGAAGATGTTGCATAATTTCAGAAGTAATACCTGCCTCCTGAATCCAAGTGTTTGACATGGGGGGAGTAACTTTGTCAATGTACCAGCTACAGTCATTTTTCATACTTATTTCAACCTACTATTAACTGGTTTTTATCAAAATATCCAATTTGATGAAAAACATGATTTTTACTCTTTGGGACCTTTAAAGACAACAGATCACACTTTTTAATGTAGTGTTACTAGTATTATCTCCACCACATCCTGTGATATTTATGGGATGTAGTGCTGAGAGATTAACCAACATTTATGTTATTTTTCGGTTTAAAAAAAACGAATTGGTTTATTTGAATTCCATTTCGTTTGGGGTTTTTCTGTGAGCTCAATGTGCACATCCCACAGTTTCTCGAGAGATAAATCAGATCCAGCCTGAACTGTGCGATGTAGTAGGGAGTTGTAGTTTCCAGCAGGCCAATATTCTACAGTTTAGCGCATAAAACATGGCAATTATCTACAATAACCATAATCCATTGTGCATCTACTTGTCCGGTCTGTGTTTTAAGCCTGCTATGGGGAAGAGAGAATAATGGGGGGTCGTGAGGTGATAAAGAGAGCACCTGTTGCTTCGCGAGATATCTCTACCTGAAAATACACGATCTAAGTGACAGTTTGTATTCAGTGGTCATAGTATGCCTTATTTACTTTGAAGAACTACAAAATAGTGATGTTGTCAGACAGCGTAGGCAGAAGCTCTATAGAGATGATGACTTGGAATGAAATAATGAAGTCATCAAATAAAACAAATGTAATATACACAACTGAAATATTTTAGTAAAGTAATGTGAATAAATGATGGTTAATAAGTGATAGGCAGTAATGTGCAGTCACTACCATCATTGGACTTTTACAGTACATTCGGAAAGTATTCAGACCCCTTCCCTTTTTCCACATTTTGTTACGTTACAGCCTTATTCTAAAATTGATTAAACAAAAAATGTCCTCATCAATCTACACACAATACCCCATAATGACTAAGCGAAAACAGGTTTTTAGAATGTTTGCAAATGTATTAAAAATAAAAAACGGAAATACCTTATTTACATAAGTATTCAGACCCTTTGCTATGAGACTCGAAATTGAGCTCAGGTGCATCCTGTTTCCATTGATCACCCAAAGATCTGGGGAAGGGTACCAAAACATTTCTGGAGCATTGAAGTTCCCAAGGACACAGTGGCCTCCATCATTCTTAAATGGAAGAAGTTTGGAACCAACAATACTTTTCTTAGAGCTGGCCGCCTGGCCAAACTGAGCAATCGGGGGAGAAGGACCTTGGTCAGGGACAAGAACCTGATCAGAGCTCCAGAGTTCCTCTGTGGAAATGGGAGAACCTTCCAGAAGGACAACCATCTCTGCAGCACTCCACCAATCAGGCCTTTATGGTAGAGTGGCCAGACGGAAGCCACTCATCAGTAAAAGGCAAATGACAGCCCGCTTGGAGTTTGCCAAAAGGCACCGAAAGAACTCTTAGACCATAAGAAACAAGATTCTCTGGTGTGATGAAATCAAGATTGAACTCTTTGGCCTGAATAGCAAGCGTCACGTCTGGAGGAAACCTGGCACCATCCCTATGGTGAAGCATGGTGGCAGCATCATGCTGTGGGGATGTTTTTCAGCGGAGGAACTGGGAGACTAGTCAGGATCGAGGGAAAGATGAACGGAGCAAAGTACAGAGAGATCCTTGATGAAAACCTTCTCCAGAGCGCTCAGGACCTCAGACTGGGGCGAAGGTTCACCTTCCAACAGGACAACAACCCTAAGCTCAGCTCTACTGGGATGCCTTCATTGGTTTTGTGAGGAATATGGTGAGACAGAAGGTGACGGAGAGGTGTTCATGGTACGTCACCAGTTTCACAAAGCTGCTGAAGGAATTGAAGAAGCACTCTTTATACAGTGGGGGAAAAAAGTATTTAGTCAGCCACCAATTGTGCAAGTTCTCCCACTTAAAAAGATGAGAGAGGCCTGTAATTTTCATCATAGGTACACGTCAACTATGACAGACAAATTGAGAAAAGAAAATCCAGAAAATCACATTGTAGGATTTTTAATGAATTTACTTGCAAATTATGGTGGAAAATAAGTATTTGGTCACCTACAAACAAGCAAGATTTCTGGCTCTCACAGACCTGTAACTTCTTCTTTAAGAGGCTCCTCTGTCCTCCACTCGGTACCTGTATTAATGGCACCTGTTTGAACTTGTTATCAGTATAAAAGACACCTGTCCACAACCTCAAACAGTCACACTCCAAACTCCACTATGGCCAAGACCAAAGAGCTGTCAAAGGACACCAGAAACTAAATTGTAGACCTGCACCAGGCTGGGAAGACTGAATCTGCAATAGGTAAGCAGCTTGGTTTGAAGAAATCAACTGTGGGAGCAATTATTAGGAAATGGAAGACATACAAGACCACTGATAATCTCCCTCGATCTGGGGCTCCACGCAAGATCTCACCCTGTGGGGTCAAAATCCCAGAACCACACAGGGGGACCTAGTGAATGACCTGCAGAGAGCTGGGACCAAAGTAACAAAAGCCTACCATCAGTAACACACTACGCCGCCAGGGACTCAAATCCTGCAGTGCCAGACGTGTCCCCCTGCTTAAGCCAGTACATGTCCAGGCCCGTCTGAAGTTTGCTAGAGTGCATTTGGATGATCCAGAAGAGGATTGAGAGAATGTCATATGGTCAGATGAAACCAAAATAGAATTTTGGTAAAAACTCAACTCGTCATGTTTGGAGGACAAAGAATGCTGAGTTGCATCCAAAGAACACCATACCTACTGTGAAGCATGGGGGTGGAAACATCATGCTTTGGGGCTGTTTTTCTGCAAAGGGACCAGGACGACTGATCCGTGTAAAGGAAAGAATGAATGGGGCCATGTATCGTGAGATTTTGAGTGAAAACCTCCTTCCATCAGCAAGGGCATTGAAGATGAAACGTGGCTGGGTCTTTCAGCATGACAATGATCCCAAACACACCGCCCGGGCAATGAAGGAGTGGCTTCGTAAGAAGCATTTCAAGTTCCTGGAGTGGCCTAGCCAGTCTCCAGATCTCAACCCCATAGAAAATCTTTGGAGGGAGTTGAAAGTCTGTGTTGCCCAGCGACAGCCCCAAAACATCACTGCTCTAGAGGAGATCTGCATGGAGGAATGGGCCAAAATACCAGCAACAGTGTGTGAAAACCTTGTGAAGACTTACAGAAAACATTTGACCTGTGTCATTGCCAACAAAGGGTATATAACAAAGTATTGAGAAACTTTTGTTATTGACCAAATACCTATTTTCCACCATAATTTGCAAATAAATTCATTAAAAATCCTACAATGTGATTTTCTCGATTTTTTTCCTCATTTTGTGTCATAGTTGACGTGTCCCTATGATGAAAATTACAGGCCTCTCTCATCTTTTTAAGTGGGAGAACTTGCACAATTGGTGGCTGACTAAATATTTTTTTTCTCCCACTGTATGTATCTATCATCATTAATTTAATTTAGACTTACAAATTACCAAAGCCGGTCTCAGGCTTGGATAACACTGGAGGCCCCATCGGTCTTCCACAGAGTTGGTTAAAGATGCTTTTCAGTTTTTTTGCGCCCTTTATGTGGAACAATTTACAGAACTCTCTGAAATGAGATGTTCTGTACCCCCTTGGTCAGGTCAGAGTAATGATCGGAGGGAGACTTCTACATTGATAAATGTATCTGTTTTGTAATTGTGTATATTGTACGTGTTTTATGTATTTATGCAGGGCTCATCTGTAGCGACCATCGCCTCAGTATGACTTCCCTGTCAAAATAAAAGGTTATCTTTTTTATAATACATAAATATTCTGGTTTAAGGCAGGGCTCTCCAACCCTGTTCCTGGAGCGCTACCCTCCTGTACATTTTCACTCCAACCCCAGTTGTAACTAACCTGATTTAGCTTATCAACCAGATAATTATTAAAATCAGGTGCGCTAGATTATGCTTGGAGCGAAAACCTACAGGACGTTAGCTCTCCAGGAACAGGGTTGGAGAGCCCTGGTTTAAGGTCTGTTTTTTAAGTTATTTACCAAGACCACAGCGTTATTCCTCTCCAATTTTAATGAAGATCTGAGTAGCAAAAAGAGTTTGAGAGACTTATCTTTCATCAGAAGTTTAATTCAATATGTACAACTAATCTTAATAAAGCACTGCATTTCACATTTAATACATTGACAAACCGTTCCTATCCCGTCCCCCTATCTAGCAGTATGGGACAGTCACAGTCCAACTAGACATTTACAATTAATGATAAAATCTCCACTATCTACATTCTGTACGCATGTCATTTTGACTGTTTTTAACCGAAGACATTTTATGCCCACACAGGAAAGACAAAAACAAAAAGGATATCAAAGTGAAACCAGAAGTCTCAAGCATGTGGATGTCATTGCTGAAACTCCTGGAAGTACAGTGAGAGCACACTCTGTTGGTCAGTTACGTTCTCTATGTATCAGTGTGGTGGTGGGCTTGGTAGTCGGGATCTCCCCTGGGTGCTGGCAGGGGTAGGGGTTACTTCAGAGGGGAGGTCTTACTTCAGAGGGGAGGTCTTCATGGGGATCATTATTCTGGACTCCATGTGCTGAATCAGCGGAACTGACAGAGGAGAGGAATGAAGAGGGTCACTTAAACATATTACTACACTTTCAGCGCTTCATATGTTAGCTTGAAGAAGGATGGACAGAGAGCAAGAGTGAGATGCACAGAAAGAGAGCCAACTGACCTGTGTAATAGACAACCTCATCCCAGCCGTCATGTTGCCAAGCTGCGTTTCTGGTGTCTTCTCTCGACTGGAGGTCTTTGTAGGCTAGAAACAGACAATACACAGAAAGCATTCATATCAAAGTCACTGAGAAATGTCCATGCTGTATAGTTGATTTGTTATTTTGTTGATACTGTATTTTGTTGAGTACGTACAGTGTATGTACAACTCAACAAAATAAGGCATTAATTCAAACCAGACATGTTGGATAACCCATCTGAAACTATAATAATTGAGTTGGTACAAAATGTGTCCCAGGTACATTTCCATGTCACCCAGTGTTACTTAATCCTGGTCCTGGGGACCCAAAGGGGTGGACATTTTAGTTTTTGCCCTAGTACTACACACCTGGTTCCACAAAGTCTTGATGATTAATTGATTATTTGAATAAGGTGTGTAAAGCTTAGGCACCAGGATTAAGAAACACTGCCCTAAATCAGGGTTTGTTCTGACAGTGGCAAGTCAAATTCAAGGACTTAAGAAAATAATTATTTTCAAGGACCAATTTGTAATAGTTCATATTGTGCAATTGTTTCTAGTCGTCACTACCTTCCAAGTTCTACTCAATAATATGTTGTTTCAGTACTTATTTACTACATACATGAATGGTAAGTCAGTACTGATGATTTTGTAATTTGACTAGTGATGAGCACTGATGACATGCCTACTAGTGAACAGACATTTCCTATTCGCATTACTACACAATTCCAGCTTAATGACTGTTTTTATTGGGCATTTGGGAATCTACTACTTAATAGCTACTAAAAAGGGTCTTGCTTCTGACTGGCAGCTTTAGTGTTACCGGTCGGGAGAACTATGTGAGGAAAAACGGCACGTGAACAGCTACCAGAACGGCAGGAGCACGGCTGCCGCTTGATAAATCGGAATATCGCAGGTGCCCCGTGAATAAGGCGATTGGCAAAAAAAGCTCTGGAGTTTGTTGCAGAGAAAAAGTTACAACGTAGAACTAGCACCAGCGCAGGATGCAGCGTTGTGTCTTTCCCCCTTCATGTGGCTCTTCAGGGCCAATTCACCCATGCTCGCAATGTTAAAGTCTGACGCATTTTTTGCAAAAAAGGTCAGTTCTGTGCCTGGCTGAGTGGCAGTGTGGGTGGAATGAGCGAGCTCGCCTGGCGCCACAGCGCGAAATACGTGAAGAAAAAACTCAGTAGTCATCCTGGAAATTAATTAATAAGACCAATACATATTTCTAAAATGTTCTCCTCATTTTAACCTCTTTAAGGATCGGACCCTTTTTTTTTCAATTTTCGCCTAAAATGACACCGAAATCTAACTGCCTGTAGCTCAGGACCTGAAGCAAGGATATGCATTTTCTTGATACCATTTAAAAGGAAACACTTTGAAGTTTGTGGAAATGTGAAATTAATGTAGGAGAATATAACACATTAGATCTGGTAAAAGATAATACAAACAAACAAAAAATTGTTTTCTATTTCCTTTTTTCATCTTTGAAATGCAAGAGAAAGGCCACAATAAAATATTGCAGTTTAGGCACAATTTAGATTTTGGCCACTAGATGGCCAAACAGTGTGTGTGCAAAGTTTGAGATTGATCCAGTGAAGCGTTGCAATACAGGACTATTTTGTATCAAGTCTGGCCAAATGTGCCGAATTAGTCAATTGATGCATTTTCAACTACATAACTATAGAGAACATACAAAAATGATATGGTAATACAAAATGTAAGTTTATACACTTCCAGGAATGTCATACATGATGGATCATTAGCTTGTACACTAACTTTCACACATCTAGATGGCCGGGCGGGGTGGGTGGGTGCGGAGCCAGAGAAAGCAAGGGTTCAAACTGTAGAACCCAGTTCTTACATTTGAATATAAAAATTGATTTTATCAAACAAAACTATGCTACATTTTATCTCTGGGACCCTCAGGATGACAAATCAGAGCAAGATTACTGAATGTAAGTACATTATTTACCTTCAGAGGTGAATGTATCAAATCAGTTGCCGTGATAAGTTTTTTGTTGTTGTGCACTCTCCTCAAACAATAGCATGGTATTTTTTCACTGTAATAGCTACTGTAAATTGAACAGTGCAGTTAGATTAACAAGAATTTAAGCTTTCTGCCCATATAAGACATGTCTATGTCCTGGAAAGTTTGCTGTTACTTACAACAGTCATGCTAATCACATTAGCGCACGTTAGCTCAACCGTCCCGTATACGGGACACCGATCCCGTAGAGGTTAGTTGAAGTACCAACTTGAGAAAATGTCTGATTTTCAAGGTATTCCAGTACTTGAATTTCAGAGTGACAAATTCAAGTACTTTAAGCACCTCAAGCACCTTGTGCGAACCCTACTAAATAAACTGTAGAGAGCGGTGATAGAGAGGGGTCATTCTTGTGGTTGTCTCGTATTACCCCAGAGGTGATGCACCATGTAGAGGCTGCCGATCTGCGAGAAGAACCCTCCCACAGCCTCACTGTTCTGCTGCCGGAACTCTATGGCCCGAGCCCTGCCATACACAGTCACATGACACACAGCAGCCAATCAAAACAGCCTTATGACAGCATTTGTTCATCCTGCGCTTTATTAAATAACTACAACAGAGCACAGAGAGAATGCTGATGATACCTTTTGCTGAACACACTATCTTGCTTCAGACAGATCTTTTTTAAATTTCACCATTGAGTTATCGATTTCATGTTTTAATCAATGCAATGCTTTAATCATCCAATTTCCTGCATCGCTGTTCAGTCCCCCACGTAAAAGGATTTGACAGGCAGATTGTACCTTATTGTTGTTCTGTCATTTCAATTCTGTCAAACAGTGATTTGAATTGACAAATTACAGCAGGCATATTCTACTTAAAGTCGCCATATCGAATAATCACTTCATAATAACCCCTCGTCCATTTTCAGTCATGCTCAAGACGTCATGCAACGGAAGTGCAGGTCAGAGGTACCGTACAGGTGTATCAACTACATGATAGAAGGAACCAAGTGACATTGTCTCTACCAGTGTCTAGGAAAAGTGACATTGAATAAATTAAATGAAAAGGAGGACATTTATGCAAAACCTACAAAACAATAAGAAAAAAGATGCCTTACCAGTAGTTTCCCCACTCAATCATAGTTCCAGGCTGAAAGAAGAAGAGAAGGAGTATTAGACATCATATAGAGTGAGTGAGATAAAGTGAGACAGAGAGATGGAGAAAGTCAGTCTAACCCTGAGTTGGTATGAGCGGAGCTCATAGATGTTGGGTCCTGGGCGGGGGGTGGGCTCGTTCCAGAAGCTGAACTCCAGCAGCAGCTGGTTACGACGAGACAGCAACATCTTCCCCCGCTCATTCCTGTACTCCATGAACTCCTACAAAACCACATGTAATGGTTCAAGAACTGGAAAGGAAATGCACTCCCAAATCTGGATATATGCAGGTTTGTTGTAATGTATACCTAACATGATTCAAAAGACGAAATTCCTGCAGACTGCTTCTTTCAAAGTAATAAGTAGACCACAGTATTGTAAGTACTGTGCGGGAATTTCTTACTTTTCATTATAGAAACCCTATATAGTGACATTTGTGAGCCAACATTCCTACTAACCTTATTTTGCCGGAGTTTGTTCATGACCTCTGTCAGGGCTGGGTAGCCTCCCCGATATCTCCACAGGTGAACTGGGACACAGAGAGAGGAGGTGAGTGTGTGTGTGTGCATGTATATGAGTGTGTCTCTGTATGTGTGTGTATGTGTGTCCTTACCTGCCTGGTCCTGCTCGCCATACCATGTGTTCCAGGTGCCAAGCAGCTCACAGGGGTAGTGAGAGTCAGCGTTGATGGAGGGCAGAACCTCCTCACTGAGGACACGCATAACAAAACAAAAATGAAATATTCGTTGACAATCCTACGAACAATCCCTGTAAACATTGGTGACTCTGTCCTAACCTTATCACACACATCTTCGAAAGCATTTACTACAGACTCTCCATTGTCTAACAATGCTGCTGTTCGAGTGTTATTTGCTTTTAAATAAAGATGAAGTTTGGTTTGGAGGTAGGGGTATCTTACCAAAGTTTGTTGTAAGCATCAAGGCACTCGGGCTTGACATTGTGAACTGTAAAAGAAGAGAAAGAGTTTAGGTATGGAACAGTGTGGCAGTGGCCTGGGGAAAAAGTCTAACACCTTTCAATCTATGTTAATCCTGTGTTAAAAACCCCCACAATGAAGCCATTGTAATGTAGACACACAGGCGTCACAACCAAACCCTTGAGTGTGTGTGAGTGAGAGAGATAACCTACACTGTATTTTGTAGAGGTTGGTGTCTTCCTTCTTAGCCAGTAGTTGAGAGTGGGCATCCTTTCTGGGGTCGACCTTCCTGACGAACAGAGACTTGAACCAGCTGTCCTCACGGTTCCTATTGGTGGATGCTGATAGACTCCTGGACAAGACGTAAGACAGCGTTAGGACACCATATATTTTTTTAAAAATCTTTACTTATCCAGGATAGTCTCATTGAGATCAAATCTACTTTTCAAGAGAGACTTGGTCCAACCAAGACAGCAGCAGTTTTCCCAAAATGGCATTATATATCATATTATACCAATGTTTAAGCATACAGTGAGGGAAAAAAGTATTTGATCCCCTGCTGATTTTGTACGTTTGCCCACTGACAAAGAAATGATCAGTCTATAATTTTAAATGGTAGGTTTATTTGAACAGTGAGAGAGACAGAATAACAACAAAAAAATCCAGAAAAACACATCAAAAATGTTATAAATTGATTAGCATTTTAATTAGGGAAATAAGTATTTGACCCCTCTGCAAAACATGACTTAGTACTTGGTGGCAAAACCCTTGTTGGCAATCACAGAGGTCAGACGTTTCTTGTAGTTGGCCACCAGGTTTGCACACATCTCAGGAGGGATTTTGTTCCAATCCTCTTTGCAGATATTCTCCAAGTCATTAAGGTTTTGAGGCTGACGTTTGGCAACTCGAACCTTCAGCTCCCTCCACAGATTTTCTATGGGATTAAGGTCTGGAAACTGGCTAGGTCACTCCGGGACCTTAATGTGCTCTTCTTGAGCCACTCCTTTGTTGCCTTGGCCGTGTGTTTTGGGTCATTGTCATGCTGGAATACCCATCTACGACCCATTTTCAATGCCCTGCTGAGGGAAGGAGGTTCTCACCCAAGATTTGACGGTACATGGCCCCGTCCATCGTCCTTTTGATGCAGTGAAGTTGTCCTGTCCCCTTAGCAGAAAAACACCCCCAAAGCATAATGTTTCCACCTCCATGTTTGACAGTGGGGATGGTGTTCTTGGGGTCATAGGCAGCATTCCTCCTCCAAACACGGCGAGTTGAGTTGACGCCAAAGAGCTCGATTTTGGTCTCATCTGACCACAACACTTTCACCCAGTTCTCCTCTGAATCATTCAGATGTTCATTGGCAAACTTCAGACTGCCCTGTATACGTGCTTTCTTGAGCAGGGGGACCTTGCGGGCGCTGCAGGATTTCAGTCCTTCACGGCGTAGTGTGTTACCAATTGTTTTCTTGGTGACTATGGTCCCAGCTGCCTTGAGCTCATTGACAAGATCCTTCCGTGTAGTTCTGGGCTGATTCCTCACCGTTCTCATGATCATTGCAACTCCACGAGGTGAGATCTTGCATGGAGCCCCAGACCGAGGGTGATTGACCGTCATCTTGAACTTCTTCCATTTTCTAATAATTGCGCCAACAGTTGTTGCCTTCTCACCAAGCTGCTTGCCTATTGTCCTGTAGCCCATCCCAGCCTTGTGCAGGTCTACAATTGTATCCCTGATGTCCTTACACAGCTCTCTGGTCTTGGCCATTGTGGAGAGGTTGGAGTCTGTTTGATTGAGTGTGTGGACAGGTGTCTTTTATACAGGTAACGAGTTCAAACAGGTGCAGTTAATACAGGTAATGAGTGGAGAACAGGAGGGCTTCTTAAAGAAAAACTAACAGGTCTGTGAGAGCCGGAATTCTTACTGGTTGGTAGGTGATCAAATATTTATGTCATGCCATAAAAAGCAAATTAATTACTTAAAAATCATACAATGTGATTTTCTGGATTTTTGTTTTAGATTCCGTCTCTCACAGTTGAAGTGTACCTATGATAAAAATTACAGACCTCTACATGCTTTGTAAGTAGGAAAACCTGCAAAATCGGCAGTGTATCAAATACTTGTTCTCCCCACTGTAGCAGGGGGTGTAAAGCCATAACACAAGTTTTTCCAGCAACAGACTATGATTGATAATGTCAAAAGTCGCACTGAAGTCTAACAAAACAACCCCCACAATCTTTTTATCATCAATTTCTCTTAGCCAATCATCAGTCATTTGTGTAAGTGCTGTGCTTGTTGAATGTCCTTCCCTATAAGCGTGCTGAAAGTCTGTTGTCAATTTGTCTACTGTAAAATAGCATTATATCTGGTCAAACAATTTATTCCAAAAGTTTACAAAGGGTTGGTAACAGGCTGATTGGTCAGCTATTTGAGCCAGTAGCAATGACATGGCTCTCAGAATGTTTAGCGTTGGACCGAGCTTTAAAATTGAATAGACTCTGTTGAATGAATGATGTTAAAAGCTGCTTGATCCTTTTCAAAAGCCAAAGTTATTATTATTATTATTATTATTATTATTATTATTAAAGTCAAACTGCTGCCACTTGAGAAGAGAATAAAAATGTACATCAGCGGTCTCAATATGTCTTTAGGAAGCTGTGCATCTTTTTTGCATTCCAAACCTTTCACTACTTGCCGAAATTTGTAAGGATTACCCAGATTATCAGCAGTATATTTGAGGTAGTGGTCTGCTTTCAGCTCATAGAAACACCCTGATTTAGAAGGTGTTTAAAAGCTATCCAATCATGAGCTGAATCAGACCCTCTTGCTTTAGCTCACATAGCATTTAGTTTCCTTATGATTTCAGCTAGTTAATCTGAGAACCAAGGGTTGTCTCTGCCATTAATTCTGTATTGTTTGAAAGGGGCATGCTTGTTGCATACATCCTGGAATGCTTTGTGGAAGTAAGAAAATTCTAATTCAACATCAGGGATGAATTCAACTCTATTCCAGGCAATGTCAAAAACATAATGTAAAAAACCCAGAATATCAAACTGCTTCCAGTTTCTTTTCATGATGATACGTGTAGGTAGTTTAGGAATTTGACCATCCCTTACACAGGAAACAGCACAGTGATCACTTAGGGTATATCATTAGCAAAAACATCAGAAGCAAGTTGGTTAAAATAAGATCAAATCAAAAGAGGATTTCAGAGGACACTGTACATTCACAACTTTGTTACACTGTTAACAAAATGTGGAAAAGGGGGTCTGAATACTTTCGGGTTGCACTGTGTAACAAACAGTACCAGTCAAAAGTTGACACACCTACTCATTCAAGGGTTTTCTTTATTTTTATTATTTTCTACATTGTAGAATAATAGTGAAGACATCAAAACGATTAAATAACACATATGGAATCATGTAGTAACCAACAAAGTGTTAAATCAAAATATATTTTTGATTTGAGTTTCTTCAAAGTAGCCACCCTTTGCCTTGATGACAGCTTTGCACACTCTTGGCATTCTCTCAACCAGCTTCATCAGGTAGTCACCTGGAACGCATTTCAATTAACAGGTGTGCCTTGTTAAAAGTTAATTTGTGGAATTTATCATTTGTTTTTCAACAGGACAATGACCCAACACACCTCCAGGCTGTGTAAGGGCTATTTGACCAAGAAGGAGAGTGATTGAGTGCTGCATCAGATCACCCGACATCAACCCAATTGAGATGGTTTGGGATGAGTTGGACCGCAGAGTGAAGGAAAAGCAGCCAACAAGTGCTCAGCATATGTGGGAACTCCTTCAAGACTGTTGGAAAATAATTCCAGGTGAAGCTGGTTGAGAGAATGCCAAGAGTGTGCAAAGCTGTCATCATGGCAAAGGGTGACACTTTGAAGAATCTAAAACATAAAATATATTTTGATTTATTTAACACTTTTTTGGTTACTGATTCCATGTGTGTTATTTCATAGGGTCATGTAATCATCTAGCGAATTATGGGCGCTACACACTTAAGCAGACCAAGATCCAATTGGTCGGCCCCTGTGGACTTCTTGTTGTCTATTGCTAGCAAAGCATCCAGGACTTATTTTTCTGTAAATGGCCTAAAAGAAAAGCTTTGACTATCATTTCTCTGATCATTCAGCAAGTTTCCCCTATCAGCATCCAGCCCAATATCATTGTGAATAGGCTTAGAAGTTATTTCAAAGAGATAGCCCGCTGAAATAAAATGGTGATTAAATGCATAAATTCTGGCTTTATTTTTGTAATCCAGCCAGGATTAATTTGTTGTGGCACAGAGGAGGAAGTAGAACCCTTCAGGGATTTTACAGTTTTCCAGACTTTAGCCGGGTTACCATTACAATCCGAAAGAAAGAGTGGTTACATAATAATCAGATTTAGCCTTTCTGATTTGTATTACACAATGATTCCTCAGTTGCTTAAAAGCTTGCCAGTCCAGGCCTAAGCCTGTGTTCCTGGCCTTGACCCAATCATAATCTCTTTTATAAATGACTTCTGATAATTCCGGAGTGTACCAGGCATTCGATCTACCTTTAACCCTTTTTTGAAGGGAGCATGATTATCCACAATAGTATTTAAGACATCTGCAAAAAGGCGCAAAGCTAAATCAGGTTCAGGGATAGCTGAAATACAATCAACGTCACTAAAGACCATGTAAAAAAGCCTGTTCACTGAAGTTTTTCAAGTTCCTCTTTGTGATGAGACGAGGCTTAGATTTTGTATTCTTACATCTCTAACACAAACAACTGGGCAATGTTCACTAATGTCTTGGGCGAAGAGACCAGTAGAAACATTTATCTGGTGTATTCATTCAAATAAGATCAAATCAGGTGGTTGCAGGCCATGTCTGATGGTTGATATTGATATAGTTGGTATGGCTATATGATTGCATAGAACTGCACCATTTGGTCTATTCCTATTAGTAATAAAGGAAGGAGTAGAAATTGGAATTACTTTTCCAAGGTTAGCGCTATAGGACCTGAGGCCACAACCTATGTCAATATGTGACCCGTTTCAAGAAGTAGGCGTATGTTGCACGTCACTACTTCACAGGAGAGGCATTTGAACATAATACATTTCTTTGGGCAGAAATGCCTTCAGGAACGTGAACTTTCACGTGCCTTAATAACAAACTTGTATGACATCGGTAAACACTTATAAAATTGTTCATTTACGAGCATAGTTTGTTTAGCCACGGAAAAAGACAGGAACCTTCAAGCTAGCCATGTTTGGCTGAGATAATGAATAGGCTGGACATGCCCAGAGATGAGTTTGGATTGGTCTGCCATGAAACGTTTCTGTCTAGAACATGAGCAGTGTTGCTACTGCTCTCAACAACTTTGCTGCCCTGAATTTAGCAGGCGCTATCGACAAAGAT